GTATTGTTTTAACGTTGCCGATTCCTTAATGTTTTTCTAAAAATGTCGAGTTGAAATATCGGAAAAATCCCTGTTTTCTTTTTTAGATACACGTATTTGTACAGCTGTTTAAATAAAGCAAGTAGGTATTCACATAACTGTAATTTTTGGTAACTTAAAAAAAAGTAAAAATGACATATTTTTATTGCATGTATTGTTGAAAGCAAAAAACAAGGGCAGGTGAATAAACAATAAGTACAGAAAGAAGCATATTTAGATTTAGATATTAGATATTTTATAAAATTTGTGTAGAATTTATGTAGCAAAATTTGAGATGGGGAACATGAGATAAATTTTGGTTGGTGTTTTACCATCTACACTATATTCCTAAAATTCACTTAAAACACAGAAGACAGATATGAGACATACGGAAACAGAAGATCTATTTTTCAGCTTTTTTTAAGCACGTTATTAAAAGAATATCATATTTAATGCAGGACCGACTGATGCCAGGGGGCACAAGGGCACGTGCCCCCCCCCCTCTCGAAATTACAACGTCTACAAACACACTGGGCACAGCAAAATAGTAATTTTTAATATTAAAAAAATTATCCGGAAATTTGTGTACTAATTATCAAAACTAATTTTTTTATCTCGCTCCACTTGTATAAAATGTATCAAAATTTACATCCACTTACATCTAAAGATGTTGTGTCTTGGGTATATGATATGTTATTGCTGATGAAGTGCTGACAAACGGGGAGACGGAGACCAAAACACGCCTTATTTAGACGTTTTGTTTACACGGTTGCCATGGAAACCGTGCGTCTAGTCGCGGTATTGCGCTGGAACGGCTCCTGTTCCGACAGTGCCTACCACCAGAAACTCAATTGCGGGTTTTAATTTTCATTCTGCGCGGGTGAAATTGTTTGATTTTAAATAAAAATAATGAATTCGGTTGAATATTTCATAAAAAATGTTAGTGAAAAATTGTAGGGAGAGCCACCCCCGATTTATTATAATAAAAAAAAATGTGTTTGTCTCCTCAGTAATGAGTTAAAACCATCGCCCTGGATTAATACTGGCGTGGATGATGTACGACAGAAAGGTATGTGGACAAATACTTCTTACTTTTATTGAATGTATTATTGTATTTATTTCCGCCACACAATTTCGTCTATTAATTGGTAATAACAACCTGTTTACCTGTTTTATATCTTCATATTTAACTCATCAATCAAATTGTGTCCCCCCATTTCGAAAGGTCACGAGCCGCCATTGCAAAAATGTAAAAAATCTATTAAATAAATGAACTGTAAAATTCATAGTTATTTTAGGAATTTCATGCAGAAGGTAAAACGCTAACCAAAATGAGTCTAATAATTCACACCAAAAATCTGACTACGTCATTTCAAAATGTTGCTAATTAGATCTATATATTATTTAACCTTTTGCATGTAGATTTTTGGAGAAAAACGTAAAAATTTTAGAGTTTAACTTAGAAATCACAAAATACTAAATAATTAGGATTCATCTCTTCATCCTTTCCAAAAACCTGATAACGTCATTGATTTTTTTTTTAAGTTAACCTCGCTTGAAAATTATATAGTGTAGTATAGTCTTTGATTGGAAGTTGAATCAATCCATATTTTTAAAGTGGTTTATACAGCATATCCTAAAAAGTTAATGAAGGTGTATTTTATTCAATCAAAAATGATTTACCTAATTTTCCCGAAATTTTGGGTACACAATGCTGTAATAATAGTAGCACAGTAATAATAATTAGTGTTACATTGTAAATATCAAAACTGATATGTTTTTCCCTGTTAAAAAATTGATGACGTCATCACAAAAATTTATTGTGAAAGTTTCGTTTGAAATATAGCATAGCACACTCTTATAGCTACCTGTACTTTAATAATTGATCCGTAGTCTTCTTTTAACATACAGGGGCTATCGTAAAAACATTAAATTTGGAGAATAATTTTCTTTTATTTATATATACATCAAACTGTTCAGGGGCAGGGGAAGTTCTGTCTGAATAATTTTATCGACTGATTTGTTTTGTCAGTTACCTCAGGAACGATTTGCCCATTTCGTGTAATACTCTAACAAAACGGTATCGTTATGACTAGAGTGAAAATACTTTGAGAAGAACACATCAATAAGAGGTCAGCGCCGTTCATCATTCTTTTTCACTTAATACTGTTTTGTTTTGTTTTGTGTTTTCGTGGTTTATGGATGTTTTTTGTGCTTTATTCAAATCAGTTCTTTACAACACTCTGGAGTATATACAGGGTGAGTCACCAAATGCGCGATCCTCGATATCTCATTAATTAATTAATTGCGGATAAAAAAAAGTTATAGCAACTAACGTTCTATAGGGGTAATTCTGAATCAAACCTGTTAAATTTAAAGAGCTGTTTATTTTTTAACAACCTTTAAATTTTAACATTTGATTCAGAATTGGCCCTTATGGCTTTTTGAATAGCATGACCAAAATTATGTTCGACCATGTTATGTTTTGTTTTCCTTATTCGAATTTTTTTATTTTTTTTACCAAAAAAATCGTAGATCTACTTTTTCATATTATTCTAAGAGCATACAATTTCGAAAAAACAGAAATGATCTATTGGTCAAATAGATCTTATTACAATACTTCCTTGGCTTATATTCGAAATTCAAAAAGCTTACGAGAAAAGTAAAATACGTCATTAAAAGCAATATCATATTTGTTCATTTTACAGAACGCCTTAAAATCTATAAACATCGAATTTCCCTCCCTTCTCCAGCACAACCACTACAATAATTATGTCACACTTTATTTTTCAGTACAGTTTCGTTTATTTATTTAAAATGTGATGAAGTTATCAACAACCAACCTTAATATATGACTACACCATATAATTCATACATTCGAGGAATATTAAACATCGTTTTTGATTTATTTAATCAATAAATAAAGAGCATGATTCGTTAATTTTTTTAAGCATCTTGTATGGGCAATTCTAAAATAACTCATAGCCGTAAAATTTAAAATATGAGTGCACTGAAAGAATAATGAAATTAAGTAGAACGTGAAAATGAAAAAACTAAGATAGCAAGAATATTTACAAACGAGATCGGGAAAAAATACAGCAAATAAAAAGTACGAAGGAGCAGAGTAACGAAAATAGTAAAGAAAAGTAAAGAGGAGTTTGGGCATAAAGTGGGACTGTCACGCCAATTAAAATTGTTTTATAGGGTGGTGAAGAATCTGCGAACGTAAAACAGTAAACAGCAAGGAGTTAAACAAATAATAACTGCAGAAGGAGCACTAATAAGAAAAGAAGAAGAGACAATGGAATATTGGAAAATATACTTAATTTGAAAAACTGTTAAACAACGAAGGGACCGACAACTACGTAGACGAAAGGGGATAAAGAAATATGAGAAGAACGAAGAACAAGATCGATGAAGTAGAAAAGGCAGTAAAAATGCAGAAAACGGGAAAAAAGTAACAGGCCGTGAACAAATTACGAGCGAGATGTCGAAAAATTTTGGGTACAACGTTTTGAAGATTGGGAAGTTGCCATTATATTGCAAATATAAAGTACATGAACGGATCCTCAACATAAAGCATTCTTGGACATAGAGAAAGCTTTTGTCAGAGTCCCAAAAAGAGCAATACAAGAGAATCTTATGCACAGAAACATAAATAGAAAACTGAGGCAAGCAACCCTAAGTGACAAGAAATTATGTTAGAATAGATAATGTAGAAGTAGGAGAGTTTCTTGTAAAAGAAGGTTTAAGGCAAAGAGCTGTCCTAAGTCCATTGCTATTTAATAGTATAATGGACGACTTTGTCAGAGAAACTAATAAGCTGACGAGTAACCTATACGTGGGACATCTATATCTGAAATTTATGTGAATTAAATAATGTGCCTTTGTGAGATATGGAACAAATCGTTAATGGAGGGAAAAACTATACACCAGTATGGTACGTATCAGAATCTAAAGTACAATGACAAACTTGGTGAAGGCTGACCAGAACTTCGAACGAAGACAGAAAATATTCTACCTTTGTAGAAGATAGAGGACTTTTATATAGGGAAGCCTTTTAGCTTCTGGAAACTAGCAAATACCTTCAAGTATTACAAGGAAATGATTATATACGTATTTGCAACATTTTGAGATGACATCACAATTTTTTGGAGGGAATGGACACAACACTGCTGTTCCTCAGCTTCTTATTTTGAACACTTTATCGCCAGTTTTATTAGTTTCTTACAATTTTGTATCCACCAGTAGGTACTACGTGTCAAGAATATTCCGACTATATGGTTCGAATTACGATTACATAAATGCAAATACTATTTATTACCTCTAGAATTACCTATTTTGATTGTGTATATATAAAAATTATTTTTGTCGCTACTTGGATACTTTGAGTGCGCAGCTGGGCAACATAAACAAGCCCAAAAATTAAAAACTAATTAAATGCTGTAACGGCCGTCAGAACACCCACATATTTCTTTTTTAAGTGTTTCGTGTTTAATGAAAAACAGTGAAGAAACTAAGCGAACAATAGTGTCGAATTTAAAAATAATCCTACAGACATCATAGTTTGACAGGACATTAATCTGTTTGTCCACACTATCAAACACGCAACGAAAATTCTGTATATTTTGTTCAAAGTGATGTTATGTTTTCCAAACAAACTTATCCACTTAGGTCGGAATATCTTTACTTCTACGAATGTTTGACTTTTTTTCCAAAAGTAACATAAAACTAATATTTTTCCTGCTAAAAAAACTTGCGATAAGCGTTACCACTTCTTTGGAAGATTAAAAGCAAATAAGCAAGACAGTTTCAGCAAAGCCAGGGAATATACACAACCGCAAAAATACTTTTCTGATGAATAATATTATTAGGTGAAATTTTTGAAGTATAGCTTGTCCTGTGACGTAGATACGTTACGACGCCGGGCGTCGGTCATTTATCTATATATTTGCACGCATTCCTAACAGTGGTATAATAAGCGCGGCGCTCTCAAATTTTCTTTACTAGTGAAAAGATTTTTTAAAAGTACACCGCTCCGAGCTTTATTACTCGCTTTTTCAAGAACTTAGTTTAAAAAGCAAAGTACAAAGTTTAAGTGTGTTTTATTCTGTGACTAAACTTAATTCAAAAATTAAGCGAAAATGTCCACCTGTGTGAATCCTGCTGCACACGTAAGTTTTTTGTTGTTTAAATTCGTTTTATCGCTTTATATTCATTTAAAAAATTTATAGAAAAAGTTAAAAATGTAGAAACTGACAATTCAAAAGTTTGCAAAATTCTTCACCGTTGTTCATTCATTCGAATCACTTTCATTCATTATGTTTAAACTTGTATTATTAAAGTATGTATTTTCCAACACCACTTTATGGCATGTGAAAATTTAAGACAAACAGAGCGTGAATTATAATAACCGAATAATGATATCATTAGTACAACAATTAATAAATAGTGTTAGTTGCAAATAAAGAGCATGGTGAGTGGTGCAACGTATATTATCCATTTTATCAAAATTCTTAATCAAAATAAACAAAAAATGTCTGCTATTAATCATCAAATGACGTAATTATTAACATCCATTAGAAAAGAAAAAAACATGAAGTATCTTGGCGCTCATCCAAAGACATTCGCCAAAAGCGCAAAACGCACAATTCTATAAATATTTAGTTTCAATGCTGAACTGCAACGAGAGGTCATTACCAAAATTTTGCGTTTAAAGAACTAATAAATGGTGAACTATTTTCTATATTTGTCATGTGTATTTTAATTCTGTTTTAGGGTTCTCCGTTAAGTTCTAAGGTCGCATTGTTCAACGCGGTTGCCAACAAACACATTGAAAGCCAAGCAGTCAATCCATTTTCGAACGACTACAAGGTTGGAGGCTTACCTAAACCAAAAATTTCAAAAGAAGACTATGGGCGGTAAATAAATTTGACTTTTGTAATATCATTTTCTATAACGTTTTTTCGTTGTAGACCTGCCAGGGGATCCCTTTCAGAAGCTAGAGGATTCAAAGCGACGCAGCAAGTATGCAAAGAAATGTTGGAACTTTGTGAAATCATAAACAAACAAGGAGAACGTCTATTTTCAGAAAAAGAGAAACCCGGGGATCCACGGGTGGTAATCAGTTTTGGTGAGCTCTTCTCGGTGAGTAATTTATTAATTTTTGTTCGAATGTTGTTTTATTAAGTATAAAATTTATTTTGCAGATTTATACTGTGATCTCTAATAAACTCGTAGGCGTTTTACTTCGAGCAAGAAAACACAAAATTGTTGATTTTGAAGGAGAATGTTTGTTTCAGGTAAGTTTTGTAGTCGTATTTTGGGTTTGAAAACACATAAAATGTATATTGTAGAGAAGAGACGATGATGTACCTGTGATTCTGATAAAACCGATTCAAGAAATCCGAGAAATGTTTCGGGATAAAGTAGAATCGAGCCCAGAAAAGTCGAGTGAAGAAGACAGCCACAGCGATGATAGTAATTAAATACGCAAGACTATAAAGTTTATATTTTTAAAGGACCAGACAAAAAACTTTCCACCACCTTAAAAATAATAATCATTTATTAAAAAAAATAGAATTGGGCGTTTGACACATTGTTTTTGTAATGTACTTTAAAACAACGGTATTTCTATGCAGTAGTTAGTCGTTAGAACTGATAATAAAAAACGATTATTTCTGAAATCTGTATATAAATTTTTCTACACCAAAACAATAAAAATATTTTCGTAGGTACAAAATAGTATAATTTTTTGCCTTTTCCACAAAATCTTATTCAAACGAACATAGTTGCGCGTCCAAAAAAAATTAATTTGAAAATGATTACCCGTGAAGATTCGAAAAATGGGAGGGCTTGCGGCTTGAATTTGAACATTTATTCTCAAAGTTGTCACTCTTGAACGAAGTGTTTCCAGGAGCACCTCACTTTGATTTTGATCATATTTTATGTGTTTTGTTTGACTGTGATATGGGATATGGGGTTTCAGTCCACGAGGTAATTCTTTTTGATTTAATCATTATATTTGGAATTAATGCATAATCTAACATCATGTAAATTCTGGTTGTTTGAAATTTTGCTACAGTGTGGCGTAACGAAGATTTGTTGTTTTGTAGCTTCAGTAATTCATTTAATCGTGGTCATAACTTCGGGGGTAGGTACAAATTTCAGATTAAGACGGTCACCTGTGTGTAAAGAAATGTCGACATGGACAGTTTTCTGATTTGTTCTCAACTTAGCACCTTTTTAACAGAAATAACAAGTGAACGAGTTGATAGGCAACCATGTGCACGTTTAGTTCTTTTTGGATTGTTGATAGCTCTCCTAGGGATTTTCTTGGTTCACTTGGGCGTCACTGTTGTTTTGTTACGGTGAGTGAAAACACGCGGCAAGGAAGAGCCTTTGTTTAACGAAAATTAATCGTAACGATGACGACGCCACACTTTCCCCAAGACGCATAGCTAATTGACCAGTAAAGTAAGGTTAGAATTTAGAATGCGCGGCAGTTCATAATTCAAAAATTCTACTATGGGTTTCTTATGGGAGCTTGATTTTACAGACAAAATACACCGCACAGGTAGAAATCTTAACTAGTTCATCCTACAAGCGATAAAGACTGTACAATTATCTTCCTGTTAGTAAAGGTTTAACTATATAAAAAGCTTGTGTTAAAGAAATATCGCAAATTAAAAACAACGTTGTTTATCAAAGTAACGTACATCGATTCTAATGCCTTGCGCATGAGTGAAACGGAAAATCCAGAAACATGCCGAACAGAAAAGGAACGCGAATATTTTGGAGGGCTAGTGACGTTTAGATCGTGAAAATCCCCAAAATATGACAGTTGATTTCGTATTTTCATCACAACCAGGGTTGCCAGATGTGGCTACTTTTCGCCAAACCGGCTACTTTTTTGTTAGCTCTGGCGCCTAAAATTTCCAACTGGCGACTGGCTACTAAATCCGGCGACTCGGATCAGAAAATCACAGCTTTGATGAATATTATTGTGAATTTTATTTGTGCAACCCCGCACGCAACAGTCCACTATGGGTAGCAATCATTCAGTGCCGTTCTGCCGCTGCCTGCGTAAATGCTTATTATAATGTGTACAACAATGTGAAATGTCAGTTGTCAGTTGTTAAACAAATCAAAACAAATAAGGAAGCGTTGGTCGTTGCATCAATATTCCAATTATTAACACGGCATTATACATAATATCCGTTCGCAAAACTCCTGCACTGTCAGTGTCAGATTTGGAAAAAATGACCTGAGTGTACTCAGTGGTGAGATGCGAAAAACCTGTACAATATGTTGCAAAATTGCAATCTAGTGACAAATTAGTAACTAAAAATAACTTGTCAAATAAAAATGTCAAAAGCACATTAACTGAAGATTTTTATCAATTCAAGTAAAGAAAGAGTATGACACACGAACGACAACGAAAGCTTTTTAAGGTTTATGTTTATTTTATTTGTGATTTTATTTGTTTTTGATATTTTTTTATTTTTTGATGTTCGTATTTTTTAAATAATTTTTTTGTATTTTTCGATGTTCTTATTTTTTTAATAAAAAGACAACTTGAAAATGAATACCTTTTTTTACAAAGATTTCAGATCCCAATAAGCGGCTCATTTAATTGCCGAGGATACCTCAGGATAAAGCTAAATTCCGAACTACTGTTGGCCGATATCTGAAATGTTGCTCAAATCAATTTGAAAAAAAAAAACACTTGTTTTTACTTTGTTACTGTTGAAAAATTTTAGTAAGTGGCGACATCTGGCGACAAAGTGGTAACACATTGGCGACATAAGATTCTGAAAATCTGGCAATCCTGATCACAACAAACAATCATAATCACAATTTTTGGATGATATATTAGTTCTGTGATATTGGTTCACATTAGGTTGTATATGTCTGTGGACTGGTTTTATTGTATTTGTTATTAATAATGACAGAAAGACATGCGTTGACAATAGGGGCAATTACCAGTTTTTTTTTGTTGACGATCGGAAATGCATTGTGAACGGAGAAAATTCTTTGCAGTCAAATAATGCAGTGAAAGTCACTTGGTATACTGAATTAAATGTGCTTGAAGAGTTTATTCGAGCTAGAATGCAAAATAGCCAATGGTAAGTTAATGTATATTGATAAATTCTGTATCAAGACAATTATGAGGTATTTTGTTTTATTTTGCATAGATATTCCTTAAGAGAGGCAACATGTATTGTGAAACCACAAGAGGTGCATTTGTATGTCACCATATGGCTACACCTGCCCTACACGGGTGTTATAATTTATTTTGGACCAATAATTTGCGTTCTTGGGACGTACATCTGAAGAAAAGTGAATCAGCCGAGGTCAGAGCTGTGATCTCTGAAAATTCTTTTAATCCCCAAGTCAACCTAAAAACAGCTGATGTTGAGGTACAACTTTATGAAAGCTTACGACAAACTGATGGGAGCGAAGCACTGCTTTGGCTATTGGGCCCTGAACCAGAAAGATCTGAAGAAAATCTACTTCACAGTGTTGAAGAACTATTAGTGTCCGAGGACTATTTAAATGGCCCATCAATATAACAGTTTGTGGGTCAGTTTTTCACCAAAAGTGAATCAGATTTTGCATTAGGCGGTGCAATTTTTTATTGTAGAATATATTTTTTTTGTTTTGAAATAAATTGGTCTTTAAATTGTGATTTTTTTAAATGGGTGTTTCAGACCCAATTCGTACTAAAATGAAAGTGATTTTTTCTTGTACATAAAAGGTTTAATCACGAATGCTAAGTTTTTCATTTTCTACCAAAAAGTGTGAAAAGAAAAATGCTTGGGATTGATGATGATTCTTAAATCAAAATTTGGCAATTGATTGAAAACATTTGCAAATATGAGATCTCCTTTATGTATTATTTTAAATTCACAGCCGTATCTCTAGCATGTGAAAATCAAAGCCATTTATGTGGAGGGGGAAGTCAATGGCAGTATGAACCACTGTGCGACATACGTTCGAGGCAAATGTAGTGGTAAAAGTTGAATTCAAATATTTATTAAATACCACCGGTTCGGTTCGTGTTTGGTATCAAGATCAACAGTAAAAATATCAGTCTTAATGGTACAAGTAGTGGTATATATAAGAAAATTACTTTAATGGTAGAATTTAAGCGTTAAAATGACGCCTCGATTTCACCCATAAGGATTACACGGGGAACTGAAATTCGGGTCTCGTGTTATGAACTGAGTTCAAATTTCGCGCGTCATTCACTTTACTAGTCAATTCTTGCGGTTTTTCCAAGCAAAAATATGCGAATTTTTGACCGACGCCAACACGTGGTGGAATTTTGTTTTACTGTTTGTAAATTCACAGTTCATGTTAGGATTTTAATCGTTAACTGGTTCTAATACAATTTAACAGTCAGGAGATTATTTAGATACAGTACTTGCTAGAAGATTTCATGAGATTAGATTCATTTAGTCAGGACTCATCCTTTGTTTATCAAATTATATATGAATAAGGTTTCTGGATGCTTCTAGTTAAGTGTTACATTATAGCACTTTTTAATATCCTACACAAGATTGCAAACAGTTCATTTACGGCAGTTAAATTAATCTAACGTTCTCCCACTCTGGGAAAAGGACCGTGAAAGTGCGGTAGAATAGAGAGAGAACAGCCACGACCAGGAGCCCCAAACACCGCTTATGCAAAAACGCCCCCTTTGGGTAATTTTGTTGTGCACTAGAATGAAATTGATATAGTTCGATCGCCACTCTCTTATAGCGCTCTGGTGCCTCTGCCGCTGCATACAGCTTATATTAAAATTTTGTTCTTTTGTTGACTGCCATAATTTTGAATTTGCCGCCACACGTCCGTAATAACTTGTGTATTTGCATCCAATTACTTTAATTCACATTTTTCGTTGTTTTTATTAAATTCGTGATATTCAAATATTTGCATTGATTCAGAACCTTTGATTTGATTCCATTCAAATTTAGGCAATCTGATATAAGTAATGAAAAGCATTTAAAAATGTTATAATTTAAAATTATTTTTTTTGCCATTTTTTGCACCGTCTCTGATCCTCGGTTGTTGAACAACCGCTCTTGTTGTAGTACGGAAAGGGTCATAAATGGCTCTGGAGCTCTTGTGACAGTAAATCTTTAACATTAGTACAATGAGGATGCTCCTTCCTGTCATTCTACCTCTACGAGTAATTTGCACTTTCGTTTCAGGAATTAAGAAGTGTATAAAACAACAGATTTCTAAACATATATTGTAGACAGGAAGTTGACAAAACCTTTGATTTGACTAAGACAGTATACTTATTGTAACAGAAAAAGCAAACATAGCACCAGTTTATTGTATAACATCAAATAATAAGGTCGCTTTTAAATTATTTAATGCAAATATTCTATTTAATACAAGATACAATATTGTCAAATCTGCATTTGATACAGGTGGTAATAATAAACATAAACAGCATCCCACCTGTCCAAATAGGTGTATCACTAAATGTGCCTCAAGTATAAATAATTTAGCAAAAATATAAAAATACACAAATTTACTTAAAATTAAACATAATCACAAAAATCGCTCAACGACTTGCGAACTAAGCTTAGATTTTATCAGTGATCTTTGGAAATGAAAATAAAAAGTAAGCTTGGCTTAAACATACTTACCATTAGGTCTAGTGGAATCGTTTTAAATAACGAACATTTAGGCTGAATACAAGCACATTAACTAATAACGAATGGC